CATGATCGCAAATGTTACTTTTTTTTTGGTCTTATTCCAAATTTATGGAACATTCAACTTAACTAGTGCTGTCCAGTTCAGGACAAGCATAAATCTTCACCTTTCCTTTTGCTTTGAATCTTGCTGCCTGCGCTCCCCTGCCCGCTGTGCATAGTTCTTGTTAAGAATTAGGACAATATTTGAGTGATTATGAAGTTTTCTACTTTGCAAGTATTTATTTAGCAATCATTGATTTCATGCACAAATATTAATGCATTTGTCATCAATCATTTTCAGATGTTGTGAAATACAAAATGGTGTCCAGAAAACTACATTGCATGCCATTTTCCTGACAGTTCAAGCATGTAAACAACCCTAAACTATCACGTAGCAATTTTGGATCTAGCAATTTTGGATCTAGCAATTTGACAAATGTGCTACGAAGGTTCCAAGAGACTCTTAGCAATTCAAACATTTTAGTTGTGTTTAAAATTGTATTGCAGCAAGTGGACTTCTCACTTGCAAAGTGCTGAGAGCCAGTAATTCCCCTGAGTGCTGCCTATTAGAACACTCGGAGTAGAACCTTCTCCAAGCAGCAAATGAAGTACTTTGTCACAATTTTCCTCCTCTAATTCTTTTATTAACTGACAATATGTTGAACAGCCTTGCAATTTTAGGTTTGTTGTAGAAGTTCTTTGATGACATTATATCCTAGAAATGTTGTTTGGAAAAGCTTGGAAGTTTCACCAGAACTGTTGGATTCCACTTAAACGCTTTCAGCTGGTGCTAATAGTTCATTGTTTGAAAAATGCTGATTTGTTTTTTCATTAACGTATCTTTATAAATAAGGCCACACGAATCAGAGAAAAGTTGATGCATGTAGTCAAACCTTCAATTTTGCCTCTGTTTTGATTCCTAATATTATTTCTGAGAAACAAATGGATAACACTATGAGGGCCAGATCTGGAACCAGTCAGTCTCTCTTGGACTAATGGGAGTACCAGCATTTCCCAGAATCAGTAATTCATTGGTAAAATGTTGTCAAAATTGCATTTGAAGGTCTTTGATCCATAGAACAATTGTATGCCGTTGCTAATTCACCATAATTGGTAAGTAGTTCTTGAACCGACCACTATTGTGTCTGAACTGGAAGTACGTATATTGGGTTTAATTCAGCAGTTCTTCTTTTGCAGGGGACAAAATGTACTTCAGAATGTTTATCCCCCAGGCAAAATTATCTTGGCATTATCAACCTTTCCCAAAGCTGTTCTTGTCATTTGGTTGTGCTGCGGTTCTGTTATTGCTGATACCCATTACGATTATCCTACAGCCCTCCAGTATAAAGCATCAAGTGTTCATTCAACGAGTGCATCAGGGTTTGCATTATCAATAACACATCTCACTGTCTTGCAACTGCAATTTCCATGTGACCCGGTTGAAGAAAATGACTGAACACTAATTAATCCTCATTCCTTGGTTAAATAACAATTTTGACATTGCTTTCATCTCAACAGATTGTTCTTAATTTGTTTTGCTCAGCTCCATCTCTCTGAAATGGAACACAGATTAATAAGTAAGCTTTGTGAACATACCCAGAGGATTTTTGTAAAAGATTATTTTCAGGTATTGAGTAAAAAAAAAATAAAAATAATTGATTTTATATGGTCCTTTGTCACATCCTCAGGGCATCACAAAATAGTTTACAACCAATAAGTGAAACCAGTTTTACAGTAAGCTTGTTCAGCACTTTGTGAAATATGTTTTAGTTGCTGTCAGGTTGCACACCTTTTAAAATAAATTGTCCAGTTGGCAGTTGAAAAATTGCATTAGCCAATCATTTAGCAATTTAAGTAACAAAGACATATTGTGTGTTCTGCACTAAATCAATCTAAATTATCAGTAACTTTGAATTAAGAGGTGCACACTAAAGCCGCCATATAAATACATGTAAGGAAGTCTCCTGGACATTACTGATTCACTGTGCAGTGTTATTAAACCATGCTTTGGACAAACATGCGAGCCTTCAGGCCAGATCGTAGGTAAATATCTTACCTTCCAAACTGAGGTTTCTTGTTTAGCATCTTAGAATATATTAAAAATGTTTGAATGATGAAGCAAGATCTATGACCTGCCTTTGCCTGGATCCATCTAATTGCCTTTGATCCTAAAATAATTGTAAAGATTGCCAAACTGTTTGGATTCCTGGTCGTAAATGTGCTATTTGAAGTTTACATTTCAATGTTTGAAATTTTAGAAGCTACATTAAGTTATGTCTTGCTATGTTCAAAGCACAAATAGGACTCCAGTGAACCCAATTAATCTACTGATTTCTTCAGTGCTGAGTATTTTCAACTACTTTTTGAAACTGAAATGGTGTTATGACCAGGTGAGGAAAGGGAGTTGCTTCCGCTCTTTTTAAACCCCCTTTCAGTGAATTTCAGATATCCTTTTTTTTCGTTTTATCACTCCACTCTGGTGCAAAAGTTGGTTTGTTCGAAAATTTAGGAGTCAATTATCAAGCATTGCTTGAATGAAAGAAGGAAGAATTTAATGGCAGAATTGAATCTTCAGCAGTAGCTGAAACTGTAGATCTGAGGTCTGTGAAGATTTTGTCAATTTGCTTTTCATTCATTGCTGCTTTTTTTCCCAGAGATGATGAGAGAAACCGGCAGGGTTCGAGAATTCCAGCTCTTTCTTTGACCCATTCAATTTTTCTTCTCTCAAAAGCAGCAGTTAAAAAATATAGTTCATTAATGCACGAGAGTACTTGCCGTGCAACAACAGTGGAAGGAATGCCATTCAGTATGGACCTCTTGTTGGTATGTGACATCACAGGATTTGCCAATAGGGTGTGGTCTGCTGGAGCAGTGACTCTTAAAGAAAAAGAGCAGCTAAGAAGTAAAAGTTTGAAAATTCTTCTGAGGTGGTGTCCAATTATGCTGATCATGTTTTTAAATTGCACAAATAGATTATTAGATACTTGAAAGTCTAGATTTATTTGGCAATTTGCATTCACTTAACTGACCTTTAAATGTGTTTGTTCCAGACAGGCCTATTACAAAAGCCTTGTAAAGTATGTAACACTGCTTTAAATGACAGTGATTATTTTTGGAAGACCTGTCATTATGGTGAGAGATGCAGATAAAATCAGTCTGGATTACAGTCAGTGAATGGGCCAGCTGCTTTGTTACTTATTTTCTAGAATAAAGAGGTTAGGCTGCTCGGTAGTAATAGTCACTGGAAACTCTCCTACTCGTGAGGATCGTTAATGAAAAGGTCAGTCCTGCATACACACTTTGGCACAGGCATTGAAATGTGTTTCAAATGAGGATGCATCAAATCGCTAACGACTGGACATCACTAAAGTTTTGTATTGATCCAGTTTGCAGTTTGTCCTCAGATGTACTTGAAACAAAGTCTCTCTCTGGCTGAACTTTTAGTTTCCTGAATTGGAGCTTATGTTCTATCATGTATGTTGTTCAATAATTACATTGTTCACATTTAGTAATGCCTGATATTTCAAAAACTGGAGGGTAAAACTGGCTGGAAAGGTGGTGGTGGTGGTTTAGGAACATTCCCTTTGATTCCAACTGAAAAATGCTCTGTTGATTTCGGCTGTGAAATTTTTTGATTGTTTGCACTGTTTTCCTGACAAACTCCATTAGAGAGGAAACTTTGTGAACTTCCTGTGAAGCACCTTGGGATTTCTTATCACACTAAAGACACTAAATGAATACAAATTGTTGTTAAAAGGAAAATAATTATCGCTAAATGTTATGATTTTAATTATCACAAACTTGTGAACACTTTGTTGAACTTTGTTTGTGTCGTTGGTTACGTTTGTAAGAGTTTAGTTTTGGTGTTGAGTTCCTATTTACAGTACGAAAGGAAATGTTTCCAAATGCTTCACATGCATATTCAGAGATGGAATTTATTTCAAAACATGATTACTAAGGGTACAATGTTGTACTGCACGTTAGTCGCTTTCGGGAATCATTCAATTATATTTATATTGTGTTTCTTGCTGGATGCTCAAAATTGCAACACAGTATTGTTGTTTTGCAGGTGACTGAGACACAGTGCTAGTAATTTCTGAAACTGATGTTATGCCTCCAGAAGCTTTAAACCAAATGCCAAGGTTGGTTTAGTGTTTTTTAGCCGTCTCCATGTATTTTTAACTTGATAAAGTACATTCATGTTCATTCTTGTTTATTTTTATCTGTCTATTCTGTTCGGGTCTCAATGGTTGGTGTATTTGGATTTGCTACAAATGCTGAATCTGTGACCAAGTTCTTTTCAAAAGGCTGTGCTCATGATGAACGTGTATGAAATAGATTTTTTAAAAAAGCTTTCAGGAACATGTTTGCAATGATGGAGAATTTTATAGGATGTGCAAAAAGCGATTTACTGACATAAACGGGGATTGTGTAGACAAGTGATAAGGACTGCTGAGAACTTCTCGGCTTGTACTTCTGCCGGGTTTTAAGTATTATTTTTGAAACTGAGCTAAGTAGCTAAACAAACTAACCTCAAAGCAGAAAATTCCATTGTGTAAATTTGAAAGGTGAGTAAATTTATGAACTTTATTGTAATGCAACAAAACCAAAGTTGCTGGAAAAGCCCAGCAGGTCTGGCAACATCTGTGAAGGCAAAAACAGAGTTAACGTTTCAGGACCGGTGACCCTTCCTCAGAACTGTTCTGAGAAAGGGTCACCAGACCCGAAACATTAACTCTGTTTTCTTTCTTCACAGATGCTGCCAGACATGCTGAACTTTTCCAGCAACTTTTGTTTTGTTCCTGATTCACAGCATCCGCAGTTATTTTGGTTTTTATAGAGATTGGAGGGTTACGGACTACATGCAAGCAGGTTGTATAAGGTTTAGTATAGCATCATGGCACAGACATGGTGGGTTGAAAGGCCTGTTCTTCTGCTGTTTTGTTCTACATTAAATGGAGAGGGCTGAGAAAAGAGGAGAACAGTGTTTTCAATTTGCCAAACAACAGGACGTTCCCTGTTTGTAGTAATGGAGTCAAAACCCGTCCCGTAAGTAGAGTCAGGGAAATGCACAATCTGGTTGATGTGAAACTGTTGTGGAATCTTGCTGTGCACTGATTTGAATGAATTATCTTGACGCCTTGAAATTTAACAGCCTGCAAGTGGATTCTGGTGTAATTCCTGAATCCTAAATGTCCATTTTGGTGTCAGGGATTTGACTTTAAAGTGAAAAGTCCATGAGGAGTAATTTAATTCAGTTTACTGAAGATCTGTTTATGGAACTCTGTTTGTCCCCCTCAACTCTCTCTCTTGCCCTCTCCTTACTGTCTTCAGACAGAGAAAGAGAGGAAGAGTGGCAGAGACTTGCCAGAGTGTATTTCAATCAATGTTCAATCAGAGAGAGAGGGAGTAAAGACTTAAGTGGACATAGAAAGAAGGGGCTGTCTGGATTTCTACCATTGCCTGTTGCATCTTGGTGTCCGTAGATTGTCTGAATTTAGTCCCCCTTTACAACAGGGACAGCACTTCAAGAATTATTTTACTTATTGGTAAGTTCTCCTATGTCTAATTGATGTCGCAAACTTTAGTTTTTTTTTAAGAAACTTAAGCCCTTTTCTGGGTTGGCTGGGTTCTGAACACACTGCTGTTTGTGTGATCATAACAAGTTCTCAATGTGATGGTTAAAACAGGACAGTAAGGAAGATGTTACAGATACAGAACAGTACGGTGGGGTTACATGTAGCGCGACGTGAACCCAGGATCACAGTTGAGGCCCTCTTCAAAGGTACGGAACTTGGCTGTCAGTTTCTGCTCGGCGATTCTGTATTGTTGTGTATTTGAAAGGCCAGAAGGAGTGGTGAGGGTGGCAGATGTTTCTCAGTCTATCTTGTTCTCATCCCCACCAACATCACCACCTCTCCCCAAGATCTCTGTCCCATTCTTGTGTGAGGTCAGTCGTTTCAGCTCCAGGACATTATAGAATCCCTGCAGTGTGGAAGCAGGCTATTCAGCCCATTGAGTCCAGACTGACCTCCTGAAGACCATCCCACCCAGACTTACACCCCCCACCTTATCACTCTAATGCTGCATTTCCCATCGCTAATCACGAGACCATGTGGGTAACCTAGCATTGCCAATCTACTTAACTGCATCTTTAACTGTACGAGGTTCAGTCAGCAGTTAGGAAGTCAGTTGCAATGGATTAATTTTAAAAAGACTGTCATACGAGAGCAGAGATATACTGCTGAGGCTGGAAAAGGCTCTGGTCAGAGTGCATTTGGAATATTTTGAGCAATTTTGACCCCATATTTGTAAGGAAGCATTTGTTGGTGCTGGATGGAGTCGAGAGGAGGTTTCCAAAATGATGCCAGGGATGAAGGACTTGAAGGGCTGAGGAAGTAGAGGACTCTGGATCTGTACCTGATGGAGTTTTCCAGGATGAGCGGGGAACCTGATAGAACAGACAACAGGAGAGCACAGTACAGGCCCTTCAGCCTATAATGTTGTGCCGACCTGTTGTCCTTATCTAAGATCCAACTAACCTGCATAAACTTCATTTACTATCATCCATCTGCCTATCCAAGAGTCACTGAAATGTCCCTATGTCTGAGTCAACTACTACCATTGGCAGCGCATTCCATGCACCCACAACTGTCTGTGTAAAGAACCCACCTCTGACATCTCCCCTGTACCTTCCTCCAATCATATTAAAATTATGCCCCTTGGTGATAGCCATTTCCACCCTGGGAAAATGTCTTTGGCCATCCACTCTATCTGTGCCTCATAATCTTGTACATCTCTCTCAAGTGACCTCTCATCCTTCTTTGCTCCAATGAGAAAAGCCCTAGCTCCCTCAACCTTCCTTCATGTGACCTGCCCTCCAGTCCAGGCAGCATCCTGGTAAGTCACCTCCGCACCCTCTTTAAAGCTTCCACATCCTTCCAAAAATGAGGTGACCAGAACAGAACACAATATTCCAAGTGTGGTCTAACCAGGGTTTTACAGAGCTGCAGCATAACCTCGCGGCTCTTCACCTCAATCGCCCCACTAATGAAAGCCAACACACCATACGCCTTCTTAGCAACCTTCTCAACTTGGGTGGCAACTTTGAGGGACCTATGGATGTGGACCATAAGAAACATCTAGACTTCTGAAACGTCTGGATAGAGTGGACAGAAGAGATTCAACCAGTGGGAGAGCTTTGGAGTGAAGGGTTTAGAATTGAGATAAGGAAAAGGTTCTTTAGATAGAGTGTGGTTAATCTGTCAGATTTGAGGACCAGTTTAAAGGAGACAGAGATAAGGGTTAAGAGGGTGGGATTGTTGAATTATCCATGACCACATTGAATCGCAGAGCAGCCACAAAGTCTTAATCCTGCTCCTGATTCATATGCACGTTTGAATCATGAGGCCGAAAGGTTTAGGGTCGGAATTCCAGAGGTTAGGGTCTTGGCAGCCAATGATGGAGTGATAAAATCTGTAATGGCGCAAGACACCAGAAGTTGCGAGTAGCAGAAATCTCGGTGGGTTGTGGAGCTGGAGTGAATTACAGAGATAGAAAGAAGTGAAGCCACGGAAGGATTTGAAAATGCAAAAGAACTTTAAAATTGAGCATATCCACAGCAGTTGCGGCAGTGAAGGAGGCGAATTAACAAAGTGAAGGTCACGTCCTATTGGACGAGAGGGCTGCTGTCTTATGACAGAGAAATGGCCGGTTGGTGGTTTTGCCCGAGGGTGACTTGCCTCAGCCAGGAAAAAGGATTGAGAAGGGAAGATGTTCATGGTAACCCCAGCCAGAATTGAACCCACCCTGTTAGCATTACTGTGCATCACAATCCAGCCAACTGAGTTAATCGATCCCCAGAAAAGGCATGGATGAGAGTTACAGGAATAGATGCGCTGGAAAGGTGGGCACTGTCTTGGAGGTAGCCTTGGTGATGGGATCAGAAACTCAGTTCAAAGTCAAATAAAATTCCCTGATCTGGCTAAGCGTTGTAATTTTCCGAAGAGACGGATGGGGTTCTCGCAAGGGAAAAGGGGCAGAAGTCAATCGATTCATTCTGTTCATCTTTGATTTGGAGGAAATTTTTTCTCATAAGTTACTAAATATAGGACCAGTATTTTGAGAAATGAGAAACTGTGGACAAAGCTGGTCTGATCTACAAGGTTACAGGAAGCAGTGAGTAATGTGGATTTCAGGTCCCGGTCAGATAAGCAACGACTTTCTGAAATGGCAGAGCAAGCTGACGGGGCTGAATGGTCTACCTCTGCTCCTGTTTCTTACAATCATATGAAGGAGTGCTGGAGGTTTTTGAGGACATGGAAGTTCGTGAGCTTCTGGTCTCTCTCTGCACTCCACCCTCAAACCTGTCCCTTTGGTCCTCATCCGCCTCCATTCCACACACCTCTCCCCCCAACTCCTGTCAACCTCTTCCTTTCACCAAGCCTTAGTGTCCATTTCTGCCCTCCGGTCTATCTCCGCCCTGCACCCTCACATGGTAAGAACCCCTGTCGATTTGAAATTGGACGGCAGTGCTTTTTGCCATGTGATGGGATAGAGTATCCATGAGAAATTGGAGAATCTGTGTTGTGCATGTTTGAACCGTGGGTGTAATGAGATCATTGTTGAGTGGCCCTGGCGGCACCCACACTGAACATCACCGAACAAGTTCTTGCTGACCAAGTGCTGCTCGACAACACTGTTAGTGACACCATCCATCATTTTACTGATGATCGAACGTAGATTGTTGGGTCGGTAATGGTGAGGATAGATATTTCCCGCTCCCGTCTCTGCCTGTCTCTCTCTCTCTCCCCAAACTGTCCTGCCCCGTTTCTCTGTCTTTCTCTCCCCAAACACACCCGCCCCGTGTCTCTCTCTCGCATCCCCAACGCTCCAATCCGCACTCCAGAGCTCCTCCTGCGGTTCCTCTCCGCACTCTACCCCAAGCCCGACCGTTCCATCTCCACACCCCAACACACATGCCTCTACAGGCTCGCTTTCTCTCTCAACTCCCGCCCCAACATCTGTCTCCGCCTCTCCTGCCCCGACATCTCTCTCCCCACCGTCCCGCCCCGACGTCTCCCTTCCCTCTCCCCGCGTCTCTCTCTTCCCTCTATCCCGCGTTCAATTCCCCCCCGCTTAA